GGGGCATCCGGAAAAGAGAGCGTGCGCAACTAGCCAGCTTGTGCAAGACCCCGCTTTTCGCACTCCCGCGCAGAGACTTCTTCCATTTCAGAGAATGGGAAGGCCCGTATTTTCCCAGCGCCGAAGCTGTCCTGAATGCCACTTCTAATGCGAGCTGTCATCGTCACTTCTGCTGGATGGGATGTCTGGCGTGAAGAATTGGAAGCCGCTGCCCTCGCATTTCTTCCCGTGGCCCAGGTCCTCCAGGACGGCCCCAGTCCCAAGCTGTGGCGCAGTAAAAGCTTCGTCGAGAACCTGCAAGCAGCCGCACGTGGCTTTCCCTCAAGCAAGACCCCGTAGCGCAGGAACAGCAGCCCTGGATCTTATCCAACCTCACTTCCCTGCGGTGCGTAGCTGCTCTGTTGCCCCCGCTCCTGGCCCCAGGCCAAAATACAGCGCATGCTCATTGCAGCGTTCACTTCGACCCTACGACGGGCCGCCGTTTTCAGAAGAACCGTAGTTGTATAGTGCACTGTAACCAGTACGCACATGATAACATACCACATTAGTTACCATGTCCACTGATTATTTCTTTCTGCGCGCGCGTTCTGAAGCGTGTGCTGTCTGACTGTTCTGTCGCAGGGCTCGGTCTCCTCGATTCACCCATTTCCCCCGAATCTCTGCATTTTTCTGTAGTCGCGTTCATCGTGTATACTCACATCGCACCCCTCTCAACGGCAGTGGCGGTGCTCGCAGAGAGGCAGGTTTCAGATGCGCTCCCACAAGTGCGAACCGCATTCTATCGGCTTTTGCACGGAGGAAACCCATGACCAGGCTCCGATGCTACGAGCCTAGAAGGAGGAGGAGGAGGAGGAGGAGGAGGAGGAGGAGGAGGAGGAGGAGGAGGAGGAGGAGGAGGGAGGAGGAGGAGGAGGAGGAGGAGGAAAAGGAAGGGGGAGGAGGAAAAGGAGGAGGAGGAGGAGGAGGAGGAGGGGGAAGGAGGAGGAGGAGGAGCAGGAGGAGAAGCAGCAGGAGGTGAAGGAGGAGGAGGAGGAGGAGGAGGAGGAGGAGCGGGAGGAAGAGAAGGGGGATGATGACGGTGAGGAGGATGATGATGAAGAGGAGGAGGAAGAAGACTAAGCGGAGGAGGATAAAGTATAGTGGAAGGGGGGCGGCGACGGCGAGAAGGATATCTAATTGCGTGGATGCGGGGGAAAAAGACGACGACGATCGCGACAAGGTAGACAAACACGCCGAAAGCGCAGGTGCATCACAAGCAGGACAACCCGCGAGCGTTCTTAGGAGCCACCTTGTCTCAAATAGCGATGTTAGGGGATGCTCGACTCTGGTTATTATTTTTACCTCTCCCAGTAGGTAGCCACGGGGTTTCTTATCGTGTGTAGTTTCATGTGTCCGAGGAGCCCGAGATCGCAGCTAACTCGCACTCTTACGCGTGCCAGGATAGAATGGGGCAGGAATTTTGTGTGTTTTTCGAGGGTATGCGCGCGGGGCCTGGCATGATCCAACATCGAAGGCCATCGGAATGCGCGGAACCGTTCTTAGCATGTCTTTCTGCATGATGATGATCACCATTGTCAATTTCATCATCATCTCACCATCTTTCGTCGACGGCGAACACGGCGCGTGCCCGCAGGGGGCCCGCCGAGTCCCATCGCTTCGCTCACTCCGCCGGCCCATCCTATATCATCGCTGGCACCTGTGTGTGAGCTCGCGTGAGCTCGGAAGGTTGTTGGTTGCGCTCGTTTCCCTGAACCGTCGCGTGAACCTCGCTCGGGGCAGAAGCAGTGACAGAGCAGGATGCCTCGCGGGGTCACCGGAGGCTCCTTGCACACCCAGGGCCTCTTTGGGGGCCTCTCGGGGGGGTCGTCTGGCAGGCGTCAGTCCAGAGGGTTTCTCATCGCCTCGTGGTGCCCGTTGCGGGCCTCTGGGGGGCTCCAGCAGCCTGGTGCTGCTGCTGGCGTTTGGGGCCTCTGGGACGGTCAGGGAAGCGAGCTGGGGGACCTCTTGGGCTGTTGGAAGCCTGGAAGAGCGTGACTGGGCTGTCTTGAGGCCGTCTTGGGCCGTGTTGGAGCGTTAATGGCCCGTTTTGTGCTCCCTTCGGGTGCTCCTGGGGCTTTATCGTGGTTCCTGGAGTCCGCGCTCAAAGAGCCCTGGCATTTCTGAAACGAACCCACAAGAAGCTTGCAGGACCTTGAGTGACCCTGGCAAGACCTTCCTGTGACCTGCCGGGGGTACATATTTTTCTTCTGGACCCACCCTGGGGCCGCCACGCGTGCGCGCGTGAACTAATACTATACAAATGCACTGAACCTATTGCCTGGTATTCTAGCACGGCTTTGGTCTGCTGGGCCTGCGAATTCTGGGTTGGACTTGCGCATGATAAAGGTTGTCCAGCCGTGGGGCTCCCAAATTCATGTCAGACTTGTAGGTGGAGGAAGGGAAGAATACGGAGGGGATGCGGAAACATGAGGAAGAGGAACATCAGGAAGATGAGGACAAGGAACAGCAGCAGAGGATGGGAGAGGGAGAGGTCGTAGCAGAGGAAGGGGAGGAGGAAGGGAGGAGAAGGAGGAGGAGCTGATGTAGATGGAGGAGGAGAAAATGGAGGAGGAGGAGGGGAGGAGGAGGATATCATGTTGATGGAGGAGGAGGAGAACGTGAAGGAGAAGGGGAGGTGGCGATGAGGAGGGGAGGAGTGGAAGGAGAAAGGCAGGAGGAGGAAATGAAGGAGGAAGGCGGGGGACGGCCAGGGGCAGATTTTCTTTGGTCACTTCGCTATGCGCGACAGAGGTATCGTGTTTTTTTTGCTCGCAAGGAGGATGAGGATGGGGAGGAGAAGGAGGAGGGGGAGCAGGGAGAAGATGAGGAAAAGGGAACAATGAAGGGAGTGGGGGAGTGTGAGAAGCAGGAGCAGGAGTTCGAGGAACGAGTCGAGGAAGCCAGCTGATTGTGGTGGTCGTGTTGATGACTGCGATGGTGTGATGATGCTGATGGTGCCGTGGACGATGCTGCTGTTGTTGCTGATGATGTTTCTGCGGCTGCTGTTGATAGTGGTGGCGATGATGCTGATGATGCAGATGCCGATGATGATGCTGATGACGATGGCGATGATGTTGATGTTGTTGCTGATGCTGCTGATGATGATGCTAATGATGAGGATGATGATAATGGTGGTGATGATGATGATGATGATTGTCATAGGGCGGACATGATGATGATGACGATGATGGTGATGGTGAAAAGGATGATGACGATGCTGATGATGATGCTGATGGTGCTGGTGCTGATGGTGGTGATGATGAGGATGCATGGGGATGCTGATTATGATGCTGATGCTGATGTTGATGTTGATGACGATGGTGGTGATGGCGATGATGGTGGTGATGCTGATGGTGGCGATGATGATGGCGGTCGCGGTGATGAGGAGGAGGAGCATTGGACGGAGTGGGAGGAGGACGGATTCTTCTTCTCCCTCCTGTCTCCCTCCCGTCTCCATCCCCCGCCTCTTCTTCCTCCCCATCCTCCCTCTCTTCCTTCCTACCTGCTCATCTCAAGGACGCAGGCACGCTGATCGAGGTAAGCGGATCGGCAACATGTTCTGAAGTCTACGGAGCACCACCAATCACCACCAAGTATGAAGTCAGAGCCTCGGCAGTAGAGGCGCAAGTTGTGTCAGCGGGGTAGAGCCACGGTTCTCTACGTTCGCAGCGTTGCTGTGTATGTGAGATGGCCAGCATGTTCGACATGTCGTGTGGCAGGCCAGTGCAATTGGTGACGCGCTCCTCCGCCTTCACCACCCTTCCTCGGCCCTTCTCCATTCTGCCTCCTGGCCCTCTCTGCATTCTGCTTGTCATCCTCTGAGCCTTCCTCGTCTTCCTTCTCCCCGAGTCGCTCGACAAAACATCCCTGCTCTTCGTCTTCCTCGACCTCGCCCCCCCCCTCAGTCTTGGTTATTACTCCTCCCCCTCATCATCACGCTTCTCCCGCCCGACATCCTAACCCCCACCGTCCGCATCCCTCCTCCTCCCTATTCCGCTTGTTATCATTCTTTCTCTCGCCATCCCTGCCTCCTCGTCACCGTCAGCATCGTCCGCGTGTTATACATTGTTCACGTGGTTTTCATCGCCACCTTGCATGTCCTCCTCCTCCGCCTCGCCCACTGCACTCTCGCCCGTCGTCCTCATCCGTTTCCTCATGATCTTCCTCTCCAGCCCCGTTGTCCTTTCAGACCCGTCCCAAGGCCATGCTTCCCCCTTCTGTGCCTTCGTCGGCTCTCCCCAACCTTCTCGCGCTCATATGCTGTGGCTGCTGATCCGTTTCGTGCCGTCCCCATCCTCTTCCTTGAACTCTTCCTCGTCATCCTTCTGCCCCTCGCTCCCTCCCCGGTCTGCTCCCTGCCCTCCGCTGCTCGCTCCCCGCTCCCTCGCCGCCTCCTTGCCTCGCTCCCTCCGCCTGCCCCTCCCCTCTGCCACGTCCTTCTTTACCTCCCCCCTCTCCCTCCTCTCGCCCCCCCACCCCAGGCTCCCTCGTCGCTCCACTCCCCTCCCTTCTCGCTTCTCCGTGACCCCTCCTCCCTCCGCCATTCTTCTCTTCTCCCCCTTTCCCTCGTGCCCTCTTCCCTCCGCCCCGCTGCCGCCGATCCCCCTCCTCCTCGGCCCCCCTGTCCTCTGCCTCCTCCTCCGCCTTCTCATCCTCGCGCCTCCTTGCCATCTGTGTTGTGTTCTTTGGTCCATGCTTTTCCTCTGCTTCCTCTTCCGCCTTGGGCCTCCTCCTTCTCCCCCTCCATCTTGACCGCTTTCTCGTCCTTGCTCTCCTCACCTTTCTCATTCCTTTCTTCCCCTGCTTCCCGTCACTGGTGTCCCTGTTGCGCCTCCTCTCCTTCTCCTCATCGATCCCGTCCGCAGGGTCGGACTCAAACGCTAGTCTGGTACATCATATCTACGACATTGTACACTTGTCTTACAGCAGTTGATCACTCGATATAGCAGCTAGTCGTGGCCATGGTTGTTTATGGTGCGCACTTTGTGTTCTTATCGCAACTGCTATCCATTCCTGTTAGCTGCGTCCAGACTGGCACAGTCACAGAGAGGACGCATAAAGCAGCCCTAGGCGTGATGAACAGGGTGGGCGTAACCAAATACAGGAAACACGCGTTCAACAGGGCCAGGAGGACAACTGGCAAATTCTTGTGGCCTGACTCCGCCAACCGCCAAGGGGAGCTCTACGCTGGCGCGGCAGACCTCACAGACAACGTCTCCTGGGGCTGGCACCACCCGAGCGGCATCTACAACACCATCCCGGTCGGCAGCCCCCTCATCGATGACCAGTCGAACATCTACATCGGCGCCGACGACGCCATCCGGAAGTTCGACATCATGGGTGACATCAAATGGAGCTACGCTCCCCGAGGACAGCTCGCAGCGGCGCCCACCCTCGTCGCCGCCAGCAGCCGGCGCCTGGCTGCCCGCGTGAAGAATGAGTTGAGCGCGCAAGCAGAGGAGTTGCTGCGGCCTGACTGGGCCAAAGACAGCAAGTCGGACACGGAGTTTGCGTCTCAGTACTTCAAGGACTTCAGGGTCTTGTGATTCTTCGGGTTGCGCACAGACAGCACCCTCCAGGCAGTCCAGGCTGGCCGCTGGCCTCGGCAGGCTCCCCGCTCAGTCCCAGCTGGCCTCAAAAGGTCCCCCGACTTCAGTCCAGGGCGGTCTCAACACCCTGCTGCCGCCTCTGGCGGCGCCCCTGGGGCGCGGATAGCCTCAGGCTTGAGGTGTCGAGACTGCCCCGGACTATTCTGGGTGCTTGCTGAGGCAAGCCGAGACTCGGGGGGCCTGTTGAGGCCAGCCGGGAGTGCCTGTGGGGGCCGTCTGGTTGCGCAACACGAAGCCTTACCATCAAGGACTTCAGGGTCGGCGACGTCGTCAAAGTGAAGCCTGGCCTGAGCTACCGCGCGGACGGCAAGGAACTGTACAAGGACGGCGACCAGGGGCTGATATCTGGCTTCGTCCCAGGGGATGGCAAGGACAGCAGGGCCGTCATCCAGTGGACGCGCACTGGGCACAAGAGCGTGCTGGAGCTCCACGCCATGCAGAACCGTTTCGTGCGCGTGCGGGAGGCTGAGGAGGAGTCCTCGCTGCCTGCCATGATCGTGGGCAGCACCACCGCTGGTTACGTGTTCGCGATCGACCTCGACAAAGGAGAGGAGTTGTGGGCAACTTGGGCCTCGAACGATATCGCTGGGGTCAAGGGGGCGGTGGCCGCCAAGGATGGAATCGTAGTTGTCGCAACTGACAGATGCACCGACCGGTACTGCTACAGGTACCGCAACCAGACCATGAGCCTCTGGCCGGGCAATGCAATGGTACGGGGCCTGAGTGCCGCGGACGGCAGCGCCGTCTGGGAATTCAAGACCACCGCGCCCGTTTGGAACATGGTTCCGCTGTGGGGCCCCGACTCGAACGTGTTTTTCCAAGACTACGAGGGCAGGATGTACAACCTGGACTTGCAGACTGGCGCCCTCATATGGAAGGCCGGTGGAAACATCGGGACGAACACCAACGCAGCCGCCGTGTACGATCCTGGCCACAACATGGTGTTCGCCCTCGGCGTGGGCTACTACCAAAGCAAGTACTGCAATCCTTACGTGGCGCCTGGCATCCTGGTTAATTGTAACACGTGGCCAGGCGTAAGGGGCTTTATCCGTGGCTACAATGCTACGTCTGGCAGACAACGCTGGGAGACTACAACGCCAGAGCCGCCAGCCAGCGCCGCCGTCGGCATGCTCAACAGTCCATCCGGTCACACTCGCTTGGTGGTCCCCATGGGAGAGGAAAGGAGGGAGAGGGAAGCAGAAGGTGAGAGAGGGAGAGAGAGAGAGAGAGAGCGAGAGAGAGAGAGAGTACAACAAGAAAGAGAGTCCGGAGTAGGGGGACGAGGATGAGAATGAGGAAGATGAGAGGGAAGAGGATGAGGACGAGGAGGAGGAGAAGGAGAAGGAGGAGGAGGAGCAGAATGAGGTCACCATGGGCTACAACTGCCTTCACAACTCTCCCACCCAGCTCTGGTCCGTCGACCCTCACAACGGCCACCCTCGATGGGAGAGGGACGGCCCGACGCTGTGGTCCAACCAGTGCGCTGGCGACAAGGAGGGCGCCGATATCCGGAGGGCTATGGGCGGCCGCGCCGCCTGCGTGCCAAACAGCTGGTCCACACCAGCGATCGATTCGAACGGTGACGTGTACGTTGGCAACCAGGTCGGCGTATTGCAGAAATGGGGATCGCCGACCGGGAGGACAGCGGACGTCGCGCTGCTCTCGACCTTGACCACCGGTCACGCCTTCCAGGATGCAGCCATCGCGTTCGGCGACGGCATCATGGCCATATCCACGTGCACCTCCCTCATTGTCTTGCAGACTTGGACAGGCTACTTCGCAGACAACGTCACCGTAACGGCTCCGCCGAACCTTGATGGCGAACCTTACGGCTACGACCCCACTCGCCCACCTGCATGATTCTGAGGCGCCAGTGGGCGAACCGTGACCGTCCCGTCTACTGGTTGACTATGAGTAGTGGTTGAGTGCCTTGGGATGCTGATCTCATGCTATGAGGGGTAAGGCGGCTCTCTCTGCGGGCAGCCTTTACGGGTGGTCGTCACGATTGCCCTGCACTGATGACTCAGGGGAGGCCCTGTGTTCTCTGCAGGACTGCAGCCTCGGACGCCGGCTCCCCTGGCGCAGCCATCTCGTGGGCACGCTGGTTTATCTTGGGTCATGCCGCGGGTATTTCCATGCCTCTCTCAAGGGAGCAGAAACCACAGGACCCGACAATCGGCGCTTACTACACGGCCTTGGGCGTTTACTACACATCCCTGCCCTGTTCGACTCCCTCTGTGGGTGCGTTCGCGAAGCAGCGTCGCGCGTCGCCATCGGGGGGCCGCCGTGTGCTCGCCCCGCAGGGCGCTCCACCGAGGACTCCCCCAGGCAAGGCACCCAAGGCCACCATGGCGCCCCCCGCGCACTCTGGCACACCACCCGGCCCCTCCTCGCCCTCCTCCCCCGAGGTCCGACATTGCGTTCATCGGGCCGAACGAAACTGGGGGATAGGGAAAGGAGGGGTTACGAAATCTGCTGCACGCAGCTGGTTTCGGCCCTGCCGCCGGGCCCAGTCCTCGATACATGGGCGACTCCCGGCGCCGGGAGGCGCCTGCAAAATCAGCTACGTGAGCTGATTCTCAACCCCCCCCTTTGCTATCCCCCCCTTCCGCCCGGCCCGAGAGGTCCGACATTGCGTTCAACTGCGACATCGAGGGACATCGCGACCACAGACCTGGATCCCGCCTTCGGCCGCATGTTTCGAGCCGGGTCGATCTGCGAGGGTCCTGGGGCCCAGAGCCAGGCGAGGGCAACCCGTGTGAAACATTGCGACGCCCAGGTCTCGAGGTTCCCCGCCTCCTCTTCCGCCTGTCTCCCGAGCTTGGTATTGGGGGATCTCTGGTGAGCATCAGGTACTGGACGGATGAACTTGAGGCCTTGACGGCTCTGGAGACAAGCGTGCTCGTGATAATTCATGATGAGTGGCTTCGCCGATATGGGTGGTCCATCGGTCGTCTTGAGGAGCCTGTTGATGGCTTACTTCGTCTCAGTGCCGTATGCCGTGGTAGCCTCCCCATTCATTCCAGAACAGTCGAATCCGAGGGCCGAGCTGTTTGTTTTCCTTGTCGTCCTGAACACTAGCCGTGGAGGCAGTGTATGTTGTGCTGGTTACCTTTCGCCACGGCGTGCTGTATGACTAAGCCGCGGGCGCATGTTGCCCAGCATTCGCCCCTGCGCGATCTGTGGGTCATGACCTGGTCTGCGATCGATCGGCGCGGTCCTGGCAGGATCACAGCTCTGTCGACGAAGTCCCGCGTGCCTCCTGCGCCCACGCAGACATGTGCGGGGCCCAAAGGTGTACACCACCACCACCACCTCCCTCATTCCCTCCCTCTCCCAGGAAAGAGGCGAGGAAGACGAGGGTGGAGGGGGGAGGAGGAATCGACGTGGTGGTGGTGTATACTCTTTGGGCCCGCAACACTCGCCGTCGGGTCTGCTGGGTGCTGCCTGCTATGGCGTGCCGACGGTTTTTTTTGTGGGCAGGCGGGGCTGCCAATGCCTCGGCCGTCCCAGGGAGTGCTGCGGAGCAAGTTCGGGAGCAGGATGACCCGACCCCTTCCTCGAATCACACCTCGCCTCGACCCTCGATCCTCGCGTTCCTCCTTCACGATCGTCGAACCATGACCGTCGCCCTCGATGCCGACCTCCTTGCCATCAGCACGGAGGTGGCGGCGTCGTGCAAAAAGGCTGGCGGCCGATGGAGTGGGCCGCCCGCAGCCGGGGCTCCGTGCTGTCTCTCTTCTCTCTGCGCCCGCAGTGTGCGTCTCCTGGCTTCCGGGCATGCGTGTGTCTCTAGGGCTCCCAGATGAGGTCCGAGCAGGTGAGGTCGGAGGATCGCGCGTGCATGGGGATCTCGATATTCTCAGCGCCGGCGTCGCCGATGCATCGCCGACGTCGCCGACGCATCGTCGATTCATCGTCGATATATCCCCGATGCGTCGGCGATGCGTCGGCGATGCGTCGCGATCCTCCGACCCCATCTACTCGGACCCCATCTAGGAGGCCTCTAGTGCCAAGAGCGGGTACATATGGAATTGCCATATCTGTGATCGTCGTTTCCCCTTGAGAGGCCTTTTGAGTAGGTTCTGCCCAGGGCCACGTCCAGTTCCCGAGCTCTCGTCTGCTCCCATGCTCCACCCCGTGCACCCCAAGCGTGCAAGTAGTCACCGACAGAAAGTGATGCATGGTGTGATTTACGGTTCGAGAGGTAGTGCCCACGGAACTGTTGCATCACAGATTCGTAGCCAGCCGTGCAATGATTCATTGGCTTACGCCACACCGCCGACCCCTTGGGGCGGCAGCAATCGTCCCCCGCGTGGCCTGTCCGGACAGCCTGTGAGGCCCTTCTAGACTTATGATGCTCCAACCTACTTTAGCCTTGATCACCAGAAAGAACTTCGAGCGCCAGAAAAAGTTCCGAAATTCAAGGGTGTTCACGTGTCGGGCCCTGGGAGACACTCGCCCGACATTGTTTCGACACTGTTTCGACGCTCTTTTGACACTTTTTCCGGGTGCTCGAAATTATTTCTGGGATGTGGTCCTTAAGTAGGATGGGAACAGCATAACTCTAGACACGTTTTGGAGCCCTCTTAGGACCGTCCTGCCGTTCCCCCGGGCCATTGCTATGGTTTCTGGGGCCTTCGTGGGGCGCCCGGAGGCCGTCGTGGAGCTTTTTGGAGAGTCTTTTGGTGTGCCAGAGGTCGATCTTGGAAAATTACTGGGCCGTTGTGGGCCTCGCGGAACCCAAGAAGCGAATATGCAGAACATGTATGTTTTCTCCCGGGAATGGGGCGGTTTTTGCTTTTGGAGGCCTGCTTGGAGCGCCCCGTGGTCGCGTATGCAAGCGTCTTGGACGCCCATGGGGCTGTCTGGAGGCAAGCTTGGGCGGTTTGGACTGATTTGTCTCCCGCCTGGGCCGTCCAGACAGCCTTTGGGAGCCCTCTTCCTCCGTTTTTGAGCCTTCTTGGGACCGTCCTGCGGCTTTCCTGGGCCGTTGCTATGGTTTCTGGAGCCTTCGTGGATCGCCCAGAGGCCGTCGTGGAGCCTTCTTGGGAGCCCCTTCGGGTGACAGGGGTCGATCTTGGAGGTTTATTGGGCCGTTGTGGGCCTCATGAAAGCCCAAGACGCGAATGTACTGAAAATATACGTTTTACCTCGGGAGTGGGACGGTTTTTGCTTTCGGTGGCCGTCTTGGAGCGCCTCTTGGTCGAATTTTCAAACGTCTTGGACACCCACAGGGCCGTCTGGCGGCGATCTTGGGCGGTTTGGACCGAATCGTCCCCCGCGTGGGCCGTCCGGACAGCCTTTGGGGGCCCTCTTGCCCCGTTTTGGAGCCCTCGTGGGACCGTCCTGCGGCTTTCCTTAGCCGTGGCTATGGTTTCTGGGGCCTTCGTGGATCGCCCGGACGCCGTCTTGGAGCCTTTTTGGGAGCCTTTTGGGCTGGCGAGGGTCGATCTTGGAGGCTCCTTGGGCCGTTTTGCGCCGCGTGGAAGCCGAATGGTACGTTTTCCCTCGGAAACGGGACGATTTTTGCTTCTGGAGGGCCTCTTTGGGGCGCCTTGTAATATTGTTTCAAACTTCTTGGGGACTTATGGAGCCGTGTGGAGGCAATCTTCGGCGTTTTGGGGCGATCTTAGACGATTCGTAGCTCTCTTGGACCGTTCCGGGAACCTTTGGAACCTTTTTGGCCCGTTTTGATGGATTTGCCCCCCCCCCCCCCCCTCCAAACCGGCCGGACCAGGCCCCCGGGGGAGGGGTTTGGGGAGGGGGAAGCATCTCACATGCCGTGACCTTCGGATGTCGGTCGGCTTCTTGCAAAACAGGGAAGGAGGTTTCGTCCCGACTGTCTCGGGGATCCCCCCCCCAAAGTGGTGGAAGCCCTCCCCAGAAGTGACCGTGCAGCGAGCCCAGGCTTGACCTGACCTCCACAGGTTCCCGGACCGAGCCGAATCCTCCTCCTGCTGTTACCTGTTACCTGATTGGCTGAACTGTCGTGCCGACGCAGTCCTCCCTCCCAGCAGGGCGGGTCGGCCCTTGGGGGTTGATCAAAATAGTGCCGGGCGACCTCTGGAGCACTGCTCCAGGGGCCACCTGCGACACACGTGGCAACGTGTTGCTGGGAGCGTGAAGGTCAACAGATGAGGAGGAGGAGGAGGAGGAGGAGGAGGAGGAGGAGGGGGGCGTAAGCTACACCGAATCCTCCTCCTCCTCCTCCTCCTCCTCCTCGCATAGCTCGCCACGAGTGCGCGATTGCACCCGCACGCTCGCCCTGTGCCGTGCGTCTGCTCTGCCGGTGGGCGCGCCTCGCGAGCTGCCACGGGGTGGGTGTGCGTGTGCCGTGGCCCGCGCGTGTCGGGGCATCCCCTCGAGGGGCATCGGGCGCCTCCTGCCTCTTGGCCGGCCTCTTCTCGCCCCCGTGCCCCTGACCCTCCTCGTGTCCCTCCAACGACTTTTTTGATTCGCGGGTCGAGCGCGCACCTCTTCTGGTCGAATCTAAGCGGGCCGCGCGAAGCTTGAATTAACCAGAGACGGGGGAGGTCAAGGGGGGCGCAGCCTCAGAACGAGGCAGGGAGCAGAACCCCTCCAACGACACGTAAGAGCGACCCTTCGCTGGAGTGGCCTTTCTGGTGCGGGCCCGTTGGGGTCTCTCCCGATTGCGCTGGTGTGCCGGTCCCCCCGCGGCCCCCCAAAAGCCCCGCACCAAAGGTTACTCTTATCCAGGGTCACTCTTGCATGTAGCCGACAGGAGACAGCCATCTTGTGGGGTCCCGGGCTTTGGTGCCCATCGGAACCCGCCATAGAGGAGAAATCTCTGAGTTTGCGCGCATGCCGCCGCGCCGTTGGTTCCGGCAAGCGGCCCT